CCTATCTATAGAGCTTGATGTTTAGTCACAAATAAATAATGAGAATACAAGAGATCATGTTCCATCTTGCCCTTTAGACTGATGTAGACTTTCTCCAGTGGTAGAAACATCAAAATTTGTTTTGTTTTCCTTTCATTTACGTTAGTAATGATGTAAAATAGTTCTTCAACTCCTGCCTCGTCACAGCTTCAATCTGCAGTTATTAAGCATCTCTGATTGACCCTTGTCAGATCCTTCTGTCAGAAACTGGAACCATGGACCCAGAATTTAGGCAGACAGACTGACATGATTTATAACAGCATCTTTTAATTAACTGCTCGACGAATCCGTGACTCAGCAGTTAGAACAAAAAGGCCGGAAACTCTATAGAGGGTGAAACAGGTTTGTCACGGTCTTGGTTCTGTTAGGTTTTACTTTGCTCCATGTTTTCTAGTTTTATTGGTTTAATTCCTATTTTGTTGTATTTTTGGATATATTTGAGTTCTAAGGTTTTTATATGTTGCCCTCTGGTGTTGGTCTCCTTTTCCCTAGCTCCTTCCCAGACTGCTCTGTTCACACCTGCTCCCAATCCGCTCGTTAGTCCTCTCTTTGTTCAGTCTCCCATAAATACACTCCTTGTGAAGTTCCTCAGTGCTGGTTCCTCGTCTAACATCGTCTTACTCTGTCATACTTCATCTTACTCTGGCTCCTTGTGATTGTTTTCTCCTGATGTCTCCATGGTTCTGGTCTGTGTTAAATCTTAAGTTGGATTTTGGATTCCTGCCTCCGTTAACTGTTACCACATTTGGGTCCTCTCAACCTCAACCAAATCATCATAAGGTTAGTGACCTGGAAACTCTGACGGAGGGCAATTAAGAGCATGTGAGTCACTAACCTGGTTATTAAGTTCACTCAGAGTCCAGAGAAAGGAGAGGAATCCAGCCGGTTGATTTTTTTCCACAGCAGGCAGTGGATTCCGCACAGAGTTCCAGGAGTCAAAGCCGTAAGACTACTGATGGAAGCTATGGGGATACTAGACGGGGCTACTGATGAGCAGAAGCCTCCAGATGACGGAGAGCAGGTGATTCCAGAAGGAGAAGCCAAAGCTGGTGTCGATGAGGTAGCAGAAGTCCAGACCAGAAGATCTGGGATCGGAAGAGGTAACATAGCGAAATCCAATGCAGGGTAAGAAGACAGAATCCAGCAGGAGTCCGAAAACGGATCAAAACAGGCAGGCAAGCTCAAAGGTCCGGGAACAGAAACAATTCAGGATCAGGTTATCAGAACAAACAAGCTGGGTACCCTAGAGAAGTCTCACCTACGGCTCAAATAATTTAGCACTGATGACTGGGACCAAAAAGTTTAGTAGAAGCTGGAACAGGTGGATCTAATGAGAGGTAATGAAAACTGGGCGGAGCTAGGCAGGTGGAGGGAATGAACCAATAATCCAGTTATCAGTGCCAAGATCTTGACACCTTCGTTTCTCAACCATCTTTAATCCTCTTCTCAGATTTAGATTTTAAAATCTCTCACAAAATATTCTAATTTTATTCAGTTGCATTTAGTGAATAGTTTAATTTTTAATAGGAATGTTTAATTTTGTGTTATTTTTGGTTTGGACCATAAGTGCTCATGGTGTGACACAAAACTAACATAAGTAGGTCTTAACTAACTAGTTGATCTTAAACTCTGAGTCACACTTGATTAAAATTGATCTCATTAGCTGAGTTCTGTAGAGCTTGACTGATGCCAGTGAGGCACTCAGCCATTTTACTCGGCTGTGCAGGGAAAGCAACACATCAGGAATAAGTTATAGACCACTGGGATTGTTCCTATCTGCTGAAATAAATGAAGGGGAACCAACTCTATTTCCTTTAGGACGATGGTATCTGAAGGCATCACATGAGGTTAATTTTTATCTTTAGTATATCCATAATATCTTTGTTTCCCCGTCTGTATGCTTATGTTTTCAATCAAAGTTCTAAACTATTTACTCTGAACAGCTGTAATGAGATGCTGGGCTGTATTTTTTACCATTATCTTTTACAGTTTTGATGTTTATTGGCTAACTTCTTGCAAGCTGAGGTGGTACAAAAAAAAACACACTATTTATCAAGCTTTTTGATTTAGGTTAAAAAAAAAAACATTTTTGTCACCGCTCTCGCAGTGGAAGTTTTTGATGTGTTCCTTGGGGGACAATTGCTTGTTCTGTGTCTGAAATTCCAATTCTCATCCCCTGTTTACTGTAGGAATAGGAAAGATACTTGTTTTGATTAAGGACTGCAATGTATTTTATTCTGGCCAAGAGACTTTATTTTATTATTTTAATTTTTTTCATTTTAACTGATTTGGCAATGTCAGAAATAGCAATGACAATTCATGTAAGAAACATTACCACAATAGCTAAAATATGCTGTTAAATGTAAATAAGATCATAGTTTTACAAAAAAAATCCCTTGATTTATAAGTGATCAAGTCTCAAACACATACTATTACATTACTTACTTTTAACACATGAGAAACTGAGCTGGAAGAAAAATAAAATAAAATGTAAAGCTTCCCCTTTCTTAGAAATTACAGAACTAAATTTAATACATATACATCGAATTTACAGTGTAAGTTCGAAACAATATCACTCTAGTTATTATTCAGAAGTATAAGAATTTTTATTTTTTTATAAGGCGTTTTAATAGAATTAATGGTTTATATTTTAGCTAATATAATTTATTCAACCGTTTCACTGCATGTATCAAGATACACCTGTATGGAGAACAGATTCTGACGTTAAAAAATAAATGCTCAAATAAATAAGTGCACAATTAAATACACAACAAACACTAAATCAATCCATTTAAGCAGTAATTTATTTACGTGAGACAAATGTATATCTCTTTTAATTAGCTTTTTTATTCAGCTTAGTAATAATTATTTAGTTACAATCATTATGGTTTCATATGTTATTTTATTTTATATTTTCTGCAAAATCAATCATCCCCCACAGGAATTGCAGCCCTTTCATCAGAAGCCAACATTCGACAGGAGGAGCAAATCCAGTCTTTATCTCTTTTCCTAGTGACATGGATCCAGAGATATTTAACTTTTGTTATGAAATGAAAGAAGGGGGCTCTTAGATCATCCCTTATTTGGTGTGCTACAAATAAAAAAAAAATGATACTTATTGTACTCCTGTGTTATGGTATGTGATAATTTCATCATACCCAGAACATCTGTTGAAACTCAATTTGGATTATCGTTGAATCTTCCATTGTCCCAACAAGTACGCAGCCTTGTGGTTATTTCCAGATGTCTGAAATAAGGTGTGTTGTGATTGTTGCACATAAAACTATAAAGCTGCAAACAGCTGTCTGCAGACTTGCATGGATGGAACAGATAAAAAACAGTAAAATAAGAATGGAATAAAGTTGCATTCTTATTGACTTTGGTAGATATTGATTTAAAGAGATTTTGATTCAATCAAGAATAAGAAACAAGGCAGATATCTTTCAAAATATACCAATGCTTTGTCTTCCAAACCGAGACAAGGGAAGCTGCCAATCCTGATTACTACAGGCACATCCAAAACCAAACTAATTTAGTTGATTTTCTTACATTTTGAAAATGTTATAAGCCACAACCTGCAGAGTTAGCTCAGGTTAGGATGTAATAAAACCTGGAAAGCTCAGTGTGATGGAGTCGGTTTCCCTGGTTAAACAGTTGGAAGCCGTGGGCTGAGTCTTAAAAGAATTAAAGATCAGGAGTGGAGGAAATGGAGAAAACTGGTTCTGGCAATGTAATTCAAAACAACAAAGTTGTAGTATAACTGATTCTGATGTGAAACAAACATTATCTAGTTTTGCTAAACTATTGACATCTAAGTCTGTGTGTGTGTCACTTAACTGTACCACATGTTCTGTAGGAGCATCCAGCATGACAATTACGACCATCCCCTCCTCAATAGAGATGGGACTATTATAACATAAAAAGAAATAAAAATAAACAAATATATGAAGTTATTGTTTACCACGGTAATGAAGAAAATAATTCTTACAAAAGGGAATTAATTCAAAGAGATTTGTACATTTATCAGGTACTGTATAATTTTATTTGTGGGGAATGTTGGGCTAGTGGGTTAGGGCTGTGTGCTTGTGCTCTGAGAAGGTTGCAAGTACCCGGTACAATCCCCACAGCCTTCACTCTGGCTCCCTGAGCAAGACCCTTAAACCCACACTGCTCCCTGGGCACCGCACAGCGGCAGCCCACTGCTCCCTGGGCACCGCACAGCGGCAGCCCACTGCTCCCCAAGCGGATGGGTTAGATGCAGATTTCTCCAGTGTGATATCCAGTGGCGGTTCTAGACCAAATGTACTAGGGGGCCAGGAGAGGGCCAGCGCATTTTCATGGGGGCACAGAAAAGCATGAATAAAAAACAGGACCCACTTTTCCACCACAGCTTTGCTGCTCCAGCTGCGCGTCAGAACTAAACTGTTACATGCATCAAAAATGAAGAAGCATGCGCATTTTTGCTGCTCTCGCCGCTTGCGGTGTGAACGTAGCATAACAGGGGCCAGGACATGATCTAGAGGGGCACTGGCCTCCGGTGACACCTGCCTAGAACCGCCCATGTTGAAATCAAACTTCAATTATCATTATTATTATTACTAATAATAATACCGCTTATTATTATTATTTAGCTTATTGTGTTACTTTTGTATAAATTTAAATATATATGCTCAATTTATTTTTTTTATTTTATTTTTTTATGTGTCTAAGTTTGTCTTCCATACATCTATCTTTTTTTTTCTTTCAGGTGTGCGTAGATTAACAGAACAACAACCCTAAATAAAATCTAAATAATAATAATTTTAAAAAGCGTTTTGCCATATGACCCAATGTTTTTTAAAGCAGATTGAGTGGACCCGGGTCCATGTAGACTCACCACTGCGCCAAAGCCTTTAATGGCTCCATCATGCCTTGCGCTGCGATCTAATTCACCAGTCAGGTCCCCGTCACTGATGGGCAGAGCAGCAGATGCGTCCAACCCTCCTGTCGGATGTCCGAAGCGGGACGCGCTGGTGCGTTCATCCACATGGCTTCATAGAGGAAGAGGAGGCTGCGGGAGCGCAACGCACGGATTGATCCTAAACTATTAACCTGCTCTTTCCTGCTATAGGAAGCTTTGGATTTCTTTCAGAAGAGGTTGATGCTTCGATCTGAGGTTTTTAAATGCCCCGACAGACGGCGAGCTGCGACTAAATGAGGTATGTGCTTCAGAAAACATAATAACCTCATTGGCTTTTGACTAATTAATTGATATAAAACTGATCAGCTGGTGCGCAACTTTAATAGCCTTTAACAGCTGTGAGAAATGTTAAATATGTTCTGTTTTCACAAGAAGGAAAGAAAAACCTTGAGTTTGCATTTAGGTCCGAGCATAGCAGATCAATGAGGCTGCAGGAAGTGAGTGTACAGTGGTCAGTGTGTTGGTCTGCAGAGGAATCACAGCTCTAAATCTAAACTTTTTTCTATTGAGTCACTGGGAAAAAGCAGAGTATAAAGGTCCTGGAAGCTCATATGGGATGAAAGTTAATTCAGTTTTATGTTATTGGTAGAAACACCTTGATCCAAAGCTGGTCTAAAGTAGAAGCCAAGTAAGATTAGAGCAACTGAACCAGCAAAGCGGGGTTTGTGTTAAAATGCATTTAACTAGATTAAACAAAACATTGGAGAAGTAACCAAGCTTTTTTATTTTTTTTGTACATTATAAACACAGACTAACCAATTACCCAAGCCTTATTGAGCAGGTTGAATGATTATTGGCTTGTTCTCAAAGCTTGCAGGGTTTTTTTTTTTCTTTTAAAGTACTGTAAAAATATCCTGTGCATGTAATTACCATCCTCCTCTGACCACATACTTCCAAACTGCAGAACGCACAACAAAATCATTATCCATAAGCAAAAAATAAAAATAAGAGTTAAAATTTACCAGTTTCTACACTAAATCATGTTAGTTGATAGGTTATTTTAAATCAGCCTTAATCTACCAGAATTATTTTTAGTTGATACGTTTAATTAAAAAGCTAGATTATGAACTAATTTAATTTTTTTGTCTTTTTTGTAAATGGTCCTATCAGCTGTTTAATGACCAAATGTTTGGGTGATAAAGTATGATCTTTAGAGAGTTGTATTAATGGATGCTAGCTTGATCCATGACTCAAAGGGTCAGGGATGTTTTGGTGGAAAAAGGGGGTACAGCACACTTTTGGACTTGTGGTCATAATGCTATGCCAGATTGGGGTGTATTAAGATAATCTTGCTAGCCATTAAAACTGAAACATTCTGCTTTCCCTGATATGAAATAACCTCCAGTCGATGCCTAGTGTCATGATATGCCGATCATCTGATGATGTCCTTTCAAAGTATTGCTTGATTATGTTTGTGCTTTTAGTAGATTTAGAAATTGATATATTAATGAAACAGGGAGTAAAATCTAAAATACTCAAAGATGTCTAGATTACGGTAGTGCATAAAATTTTCTTCTAACATCTTCAGTGACAGACTGCTGCACCTTAAATGCACCAGGGAGCGTTATCACAGATCCTTCCTCCCAGCAGCTGTAAGACTTTATAACCACTGCTGTTCCCAACAAACTCGATAAGTTGTTGTCATTTTGCACATCTCTGATTTTGCAACTATTTTCAGATATTCATTCCATAGCTGTATATTTGTTATTTTATTCTTCAGCTTCACAATTTTTAGATTGTTAAAACACTTTACGGTACAGTATTTCATCTGTGTATTTTTAACTCTTCTATTATGTTATGTTATTATATTATGTTATTTTTAAACACTTTTTCAAAGGCTCTACAAAACTTCTTGCTGCTGTAAACCCAAGAATTTCCCCATTGTGTGACAATGAGGGATTTTCTATTCTATTCTATTCTATTCTATTCTATTCTATTCTATTCTATTCTATTCTATTCTATTCCAACACTCCAAATTCAATAGGGTCAAGACACACTGAAGGTTATGTATGACTTAAATCTTTAGATAATCTCCAGAAAATAGATGAATCCTAATGCTATGGTCTAATTGCATTATATTGCACTAATCAATTTAATAGATAAATATCAATATGGATACGCTTAGAAAAAAACAGTCTGATGCTTTTTGTGGTGTTTTTGTGGTATTGATTGTTTACTAGCAGAGTTTGTATAGTAAAATCAGTAGTGTGCATACTTGCATGCCATTGTTGAGTATTTAGAATGCTTAATAAATGAAATCATTTGTACAGTCCTAAAGGAAATGTAGCATATTATGGCAAACTGGATGAACAAACCCGCTGAATGAGTCTATTTATATGTTGGTTTTAGGTTTGAGGAGATTAAGAATAATCTCTTGCCTGCTTAAATACTACAAACCAGCCTCATAAATGATTTTTAGTTGGAAGTCATTTGTCCTGTCCTTGTAGTCGTTGCTGCTAAGATTTTAGCTACTGCAACGGAAAAGTCTTAACAGACTTACTGGAGTAAATCTCCGTCTTTCAGCAGACTCCCTCTGTTTTCATCACATGATCAGCTAAGCTGCCAGATTTACGAGCTTATTGTCTCCATCAATCTGATTAGTTTTAACTTTTGAGTTTGCAAGGTGGTGGTGTTTCTGTTTCAGTGTGGCAATCATGACATCTTTCTAGAAACATAACACATAGATATTGCAAAATGCTGCATGTGCCAGCTTGTTTTTCACCATGTTAAAATCATACACATTCTGTCTCAGAATAGCTGACTGACAGTAGCTGAATGCAAAACTTTTCAGGCTTATTAAGTGCTGAAGCTTTTCATTCCTCACAGGTTTTTGTCCAAACCTGCAGCTATGGTACAGTCTTCATTTGAAGATGAGTTTAGACAAAATCTGAACCAGAGGGAGAAACGGACTGGGTGGAGGTAATTTAACGAGTGCAGTAGACATTACGCTGAGGGGCAGAAGCAGGATACTACTGTAGAGGAAGGCAGCTTGCCAATTCTAAAGCAAAATCATCAGTGTGTTACTGTATTAGAAGTCCACGGGACACTCCATCAAGGAAAGTGACATCTAGTCTTGGGACAAGGGTCGAAATCTAATTTAATTTCCTTGTGAAAGAAACAGTTGCTGACATTAGCGTTTCTGCTTGCCGTTTTCCCATGCGACACCAGCATGCCTTCGAACATGACAACGTCTGTCACTTTGCTGTGTCTTAGCAGCAGGACGCAGCAACCTCAGCTACTTTCTATGTTAGGATTCTTCCCTTAATGTTACTGCAAGGTTAAATGAGGTGCACACAGGATTAGTTTGCTGTCAGATTTAGTTTTAAACGTTTCTGACAGGTTTATTCTCTTTCAAATTGGACAGATTGAGAGTGTAAAGTTGAGTATTCAGACATCAGACTGCAAATTAGGCCTTCTTGACCTTTTGTATATATATTATTTCCATCTTTTTATTGTCACTGCACTGTCACAACTACAGAGCAACAAAGTCTTTGGGAGTGGGACTCAAACTCAGAACCTCAGGATTCCAAGCTCAATGCCCTAACCACTAGGCTGCCACTCCCTATATCACCATACCTTATAGTGCAATTTATTGATTGCATAGTGGGTGATTAATATCTTCTTTGGGGAGATTATATAATTACTTCAGGAGTTGCAGAAGGAGACGGAACCTCAGCTATTCCTAAAATGAAGAAACCCAACTACTGTGCACACCTCCATGCTTTTCCGTACCCACATTGAAGGGAGACAAAGAGGAAGCAACAGGAAAGCGCTGCTTGCTTCTTAATTGTTTCAGATTGTTTGGCCTCTTTTTCCCAGACCGTGCCCTCCAATCAGTCCGGTCGTTTGTGTACAAAGCTTGGACAAAGCCGGAGCCAGGTTGCTATGGTGAGGGATTGTTTGCGTCCAGTCATGCCACTGGCCATGTGGGCTCACGCACACATTGCAGAACGCTCTTTTGTTTGAGCGCCACTCGGTTCAGCACACCCACTACCCCCCACCCTCTGGGCTCCCGCAGCCTTCTTAAAAAATGTCTACTGATTGCATCACGCTCATGAACTGCTTACTGAGTTTCAGGTCACTTTTTGCTATATCAATTGCAGTTATTCTCTTTGTTGCCTTAGTTGGAATGAAAAACCTTAATGATTTAAGTCAGGAATTCAATCACTATCACAGAGTTTGCTAAACTTTAAATAAGCTAAAGCCCAAGAGAGCTATGAGCTGAAAGCAACAGGAAATGAAGTCTTAGGATTGCATTAAAGCCAGACTTTCACTCTAATTAGCTGTCTTTGTAGGTTCTACATTACCCATCTCATTGCTTGCTGTGTTTGAGGAAAACCTATTAAGAAGCCCAGCCTTGGTGTGCTTCGTCTCCTCCTTGGCTCTGCCTTCCTGTGGCATCCTGAGAATGAAACTTCAGGGGAGTCAGACTGAAGTCACAGCTAAGATTAGCTCTGTGGTTTACAGCCCAGACAGCACAATATTCCTGATGATGGAAACCAAATGGCTGCTCCAAACGCTGCCTGACTGCAGGGGTTTGAATTGATAGCAGCAACCTTTCCTTTTCTCAGCAATTTTTTCTGACATTCGGGGAATAACGGAAAGCTATTACTTAGACTGAACACACCGCATTGTTTTTCTGTCCTCTCTTAATTGCTGAGTTCTGATCTATGGCACATTGTGGTAGTAACAGTGCTTCAATCACCGGCCGCTTCCTTAGGTATGTTCTTTCAGTTGATTGAAAGCACAAACGAATGAAAACATCCATAATCAGTTTGTCCTGAACCTTCTAGCTACACGGTCCTCAAAAATTAACTACCTATATAAGTTCTTCTTATATCCTATGTTTATTCATTGGCTAACTATTGCATTTTTCTAAAGATCCTGTACTACTGTTACACTATATAAATGCTGGAAACTCATATTTTACAGCAATAGAGAAAAACTTATTAAAATATGAGACTGGCCTTTTGATTTTAGCATAGGATGAATATTTTTCTAAGTAGATGGTGGTTCACCTTAATTATGGGTGCTGGATATGAATATGAAGGCCTTCAGGGGCGATGCATGGGGTAGCATTAGAGCTGGCACTACATGTAGTCCAAGGTGGTACTGCTGACATCAGGTTCTTCATTTTCACATCCTAAGCTATTTATTTCCCTTTGTCCTGTTTAACTGATCTCAGTAAAGGGAAATAGTGTCAATAATAATCCTGACAAAAAGATTTTCTTTTAAATC